CACTATTTCATCCAATAAAAAACTAGAACTATTGGTTTGGTTACGAGTTTTGTTTGTTTATTTGCCTTGTTTTTTTAACCATGGGGAACAAGTGTACTTATTAACAATGCAACAAGTATTTCTGGCCTAATTTTAAACATTGCTGTTTTCTTGGATTATTTTTTCTCCTCATTGACAATTGAAAATACCCTTGTTTCAACTGTCTTTTTTTTTTTAACCTGTTTCAGCATATAACTAGGAATACATATTCCTCAGAACTAATACAAGCATAATAGGTAATTAAAATGTATTACTAAAAAGTCAAATGCTGTCAGAACACCCTCTCCCTCTAACTACATTGGACAACTATTTAGATTGATTGAATCAACATGAGCAACACAGGTCAAAACAAAACAAACAAACAAACAAAAAAATCCCACCACCAAAGCTAAAATTGCCAAATGAGATTATTTCTGAGCTCAGAAAGATACAGTTCTTTTGGTGTGAAGCTTTAATTAATTACTTCATATCATTAGGACAGTGTTGCCTTTTGGCATGTCACATCAATACATCTTCCTTCTCAGACAAGTTATCTTTACTGTCATCTTCCAACCAAATGCAGTAACATACACATTGCTCTGGCTAGAGTTCTTCATCACACATTAAACATAATAATACAGCTTTAATCTCTACATTACAGTGCTGTGTTGAAAAAGCAGTGGATATACCTACTAAATTCATTTTTGGAAAGGTAAGCAACTTCCAAAATCTTAACAGTAAATCAGAATTTTCTTTCTCAAAAAAGAAGACAAATTTTGGACCTAATGATGAACAAAACTTACACCAAAACTTCGTTAGTTACAAACATGACAAAAACTGCTCACAAGTATCAAAGGAAGGATAATAGCCCCTATTTTGTATTCTCTATTTGGAAAAATGAAACTTTCTTTTGTAAGGTGGATGTCACTAAACTGCTTGGTGCTTTGACAGATCTTTGAATAAACCATTGATTACAGTGTATCCTACTCAGAATTAATCCCCCAGGCAACCTGAATACTTCAACTAGTGGAAAATACATCTGTAAGCTATTAAACTAGCCTGATAAGAAAGATATCATATCATTTCTCTACAATCAGATGACAAAAAGTTTGTGGGAAAGTTATAAATATTGTTGGTTTAACAGTAAAAATAATTCTAAATCCTAATTTTAAAAATTTTTCACTATCACGGTACCATCAGTTCAGATGGAATGCCTTGCACACCATGCTTGTAGAGTGCCATCTGGAGCTTAGTACTGAAACTTCCCAGCTGGGTGTGTAAAGGTTCAGAGTGGAAAACCAAAAAAAGGGGGTGTGGGGGTGTGGAATAAAGCATGATTGATACCGTTAGGTCTCATTCACTCCTAGATTAACCATGTTGCGCCAAACAACACTACTACAAAAATCCAATTGGTACAGACAACAAATTCAGTTATTTGGTCATGAAGCACATTGGCCTGCAATGCTGTCTCCAGGAAACACTGTAGGCAGGAATATCTAAGAAATCTTGCTGCTCGCATTTTCAACATACCCTTCATCAACAGTCAACAGCTTAAATTCGATGGCAAGAGGTTCAAATTAATGTATTGCACCCCCCCAAGTCTAGCAAGTGCCAAGTATGACATCTGTCAGACTCTTTACAAGACACAATGATTATATCAAAGGACAGGGAAGCATCCCTGCAGCATTCAATTTATCCCCATGCTTATAGGCTTTGTAGCCAAGACACAGTGTATAATTGTTAATTTCAGAACAAGACAAAAGTAATTCCCTTTCTATTTGGGTATTATCCTGTGAAAGCTTTGTTTTTCAGCAGGAATTTACAATCTCTAAAAAAGCATGCAATTTCATCTATCAGTTAAAAGGGGTTTAGTGTAATTATATATGGCATAACTTCTGTACTCAAAAGCCTGATCATAAGATCATTTAGTTGTTCTAAGGTGGCAGACTCACAGTAATATTTATAATACTCTACGTACCTATTTCATTGAAATTAACACATGACTATTTTTAATAAAACTACAGATTCATAAACAAGATGGCAACAGAGCACTACAGAGAAGAGATGCATAGATGTGAGGGAAAACTATACCAAATATATTAAAAGTGGTACCTACTTCGAAACGGTCTGAAAGATAATTCAACTACATAACAGTTTGAAGCTACTTCATACTAGAACAATGACTACTGGTAGATTTTTTTCCCCTCTTTTCTTCTTTTCCATGTAATCAAGTTGTACTAGCTCTCCTGTAGAGTCTGTCTGATTAGCTTTCACTAAGGACTACAACTTTGATAAGCAACAAAGAAAGCACTTGACTAAAAAACATCAAAAAGGAAGGCTGAGAGACACGAAAGCATACTACCAACTACTTTCTTGTTGAAAAGTAGGTTAGATTTGAGCTTGACAGTATCAACTCAATAAAGTAAGAAAAAATAAGAGAAATGTTTGAATAATTAATCAGTTAAAAAAAACATTATCTTATGAGCTTCTCGTCATTAGTGTTCCTCTAAATTTCTAGGTGATATGAATCAAACTTTTATAAGAATAAACAATTTACAATATTTTGGAAATGTTTTTGAAAATCTTAACATGGAAAGGAAAAACTACAAAAAGCTGAATATTCAGTCCATTTAAGAAAAGTAACACCTTGCCAGTTACATTGACTTAATTTCTATCCCACATGACGGTATATTAGAACACATTAACAGGAAGAAATCTAGAGACTTCATGCTACAGACATGAACAGAGATGACTTATGAATAGAGGATAGCCAAATAATAAAAGCTGCGATGAGAATCAGTATTTACACTCTACCGATGCCTCAAAATTTGAAATACCAGTTTCTGTCTTATAAGCGTCAAACTAAAGTTTATTAAGCACACTAATCCTTAATGATAAATTTATCAAGTTGATTTTAAGATTCTAGGAAAATTAACATTTCACATCTTTACTGGTTACCTAGAAAATTCGATGCACAGTCATAATATTCACATACTAGATATAATCAAAGGTTACTGTCTCAGATTACAGACCACTTTTCACAATGGTAATAATGTTAGTGGAGATTCATACTACAATCAGAGATAAAGTTAGTAGCATAGAAAGACTAAGCTCATTTTTATAAGAGAAAATAATTGAACATACAGGTATTCAAATGAAAATTCTAACAACAAAGGAAACATGAAGTAGTGTGCACTTAAGCATTGCTTTGAAAGTGTTTCCAAACATAAGTCATTACAAAAAACAGGTTCTCAAGCAGTAATATCTATATTCCCTTGTAATCCTTTTCCTTCCCTTATCCTTCAAGGGTTTTTTTATTCTACCTCCCATAATTCTGATTACACAGTCTTTGGAACATGAACTGCATCTTATATGACTGTATGGTATCTTCACAATACCAGATAGATTAAAATCAGCAATTATCTACCCATGTTATCTTCTTAGTAAGTTAAGACAAGTTTAGAGAACATCAGCAAAAGACTGTTAGGATAATACTAATTTTAAAATTAAAAAGCTTGACATTTATCTCTACTTAATGTACAACTAAGAGGAAAAAAAAAGCAAATGCCTGAAATGCATAAACACCAAAATAGAAAAACTTACTTAGCATACTATGTAGAGAGATAAGGCATATCAGGGGATGGAAGGGGCATGGGGAAAATTTCAACAGCTAACCTAGGCAAGGAAAGCAAAAGCATTAAAGCTATCCTCAAATGCCAAAGAAAGTCTCCATTATAACTTGCCTCCAACCAAGTGTTTATATACCATATATACAACCCTCTCCCAGTGAAGATACCTGAGGGGATACTTTGAAAAAGTTGAAAGATTTTAGTTAAATGAATAGCTAGGCACTGGAGGTTTTGATCATTTTGGACAAGTTTAAAATAATCTGTTAGCACCAAGATAGCACTCCAGTAAGAGAATAAAAGTCCTATTTAAAAAAAAAAAAAAAAAGGTATGTATGTCTGCATGACTGCTCTAGAGACAAGCTTGTATTAAAACTACATACACACACACATTACATACATTTAACTTTAGAGGACAGAAGACAGCTTCCCCCAAAAGCTCACAAGGACCAAATTTTGCTGATTTTTTCAAAGAATCTTAGAACTTTAACACTAGCAGTTAGTATGCTGAATAGTTTGACACCTTTGTGAATAAAGCAAGATTTATTAGCTTGTCACTTGCTAGAACTAGAGAAATTAAATACTAGCATCAGCAAAAATAGCATTCACTACTTATTAAAGGAATCTTAATCTTCTGTTCTGTATGCAGAAACCTTGTATTACTTGATTTACACACATAGCATCTCTCATATCTGTCTTCATTTCATTTGGATTAGTTGACTCAATGATTTTTTAAATTATTTCAGGTTGGATACTGAATGTTCATGAGGATAGCAGGATGTCAGTTTCAACTGAATACTCTGGAACTACACATAAATAAAGAAGTTAGCCCTCTTAGAATAACAGGAAGTTAGACTTAAGAAAAAACAGTGTCCTAGTTTATTTTCTACTTGAATATTAAAGACAGTCCAGCATTTATATATTGTGATTTTTATGCTTTATAAAAACTCAGGTTTTGCTTACAGAGTTAATTGAACCAACTGTAACTACATTTAATCAGAACTTTCTACTGCTTCTACTACACTTCCACTCAATCATAATTTATTAAGGATTACAGTGCTGTAAAAGCACAAAGTAAACAGGCAACTTTACTTGCTGCAGCTGAATTAGTGGTATGTGAAAAATGTCTTTAGTTTTAAAGTGACATGTCCTCTTTTAACTAGACATAATAGTGATAGCATAATATGCCAGACTACCAGTTCACCTTTTTTTTTTTTTTTTTTTAAATTTTCAAAAAGTTTTACCTTTGTAAAAGTGAAAGTTAAAAAAATGAAATGGCATAAAAACTTACTATGTAGTGAAAACACATACATTGCTAAAAACTAGCAGACACTAAGTAATACGTAGTTTATTTACCTTGGTTGTGATGTCAGCTTTATAACTGTCTTGCGTGGCAAAGAATCTTGGGAAGACTGAACATGATCCTACAAGAAAACATCTTTGAATTTGCTTTTGAATACAACTGAACATATATGAGCTTTATCTATTATATGAAATTTATGAGGTACAAAACCATGCTAGCCATACCATAAACAGAGCCTATTTTATCATGTTACACAGAATGAACCACAAAAGTTTATAAACTAAGTACTTCAGACTGACAAAAGAAAAAGGCTCACTTTGACTAATTCATTGAGAAATATTTGCTTTCATTAAATGTCTATTAGATACCATTATCAAATTGACACATTTTCATTTTTGCATACAAGTCATCATAATCATGAACTTCAAACTTTGCAAATATAATATTTTATTAACTTTTGCTATAAATTTACACTTGGAAACCCTACACTCCTATATATTTATCATAACGATTTACAGTTTTGTCTTCTGTCAGATCTCATTATTACCTTATAGTGTACATGAAGAAAATTTTCAAAAACATAATTTTGGGTGTGTGTATGATTTTTGTGATATAAACTACTTGAATAATATCTTACAACATGGATGAATTCTTATTTTTCACAAGTTTCTCTCTTAAATACAGTGTGAACCAGGGCTTACTTCTAGTGAGAAAAGGTAGTGACAAGCCATTGTTGTCATTATTGCGTGAGTCTTTAAGAGAACAGCCATACTGTTCATGTACTGTTACATTCCTACTGCTTCCTACAATGGGGACACTAAATGCAACTGAAGTGCAAAGCTCTCAGTTCCTCAGAATACTCCTCAAGATAATGTTTTTCAAATCAAACTATTGCCACTTTCACATGGAAGTTTACTTTCTGCATTCAAATAAATAAGACTAATATGGTGCAATGGTTGCACAGCTTTACTTTTACAAGTTGGATCCTATCCTATTGGTTGGATCATTTAGGGACCTCTAAGTTTCTTCTATTTTTCAATGTACTGCATTTCAAGTGATCAAGTTTCTGATTGTTTAGTAATGTAGAGACTGTAAAACTTACACATGATGTACAAAGTATTCAATTATCAGCTAAGAAAACCATGATGCTTTTGTATGTAACTAATAATTAAGAATAGCAGAAACACAGTGCAAACCATCATTCTGGAATCCTTCTATCCTGTCTCATTTCCAACTTCCTCTTTTCTTGCTTCAAGAAGGGCAATTTTGCCGATTGTACCTACTATCTACTGTAATGATGCTACAGGCTCTTGCTCTGTTCCTTTGACCATGTGTTTTTTTTCCTTCTTCACCCCTCAAAGACAACAGCTGTTTTCAATCTTAAAGTCTTAATGATTTGTCTTCCTCATCAACTTCTCTATTCATTCTGAATACCCATCTCTCAGCAATTCTTGAAGCCAGCTTCCATCAGCCACCAAAATACCAAGATAGTATTTCAAAACAAGTGTCTTTGAACTTTCTACTCAAGGTCTGCTGTCACGGTAGGGGTAAAGCCTGGGTAACAAGCGTACACACCAATACGATTTACAAACTTGTTCCAACTTTATTAGGCAACTGGCCAGTATATATAACATAAATGTAGTGCATGCAACAATCACACGTGCAATAACAACTCGTGATTGGTCCCTGAGCTCAGTTCACGCCCCACAACTGACTCCTCATTGGCACAGTGTAAGCATCCCACAAGGCAACTTTGTTTGAGGGCACTCCCCCCTTGTGGCTGCAGCATCTCGTTCTACACGTTGCTAACACTGTTGTTTACTCAGGGTTTTGCCTTATACGGCTTCAAAGGTGATTTCAAGGACAATTGCAGTTCAGCAAGCCAGTCAGGATTGTCCAACTTGTCTAGCAATACTATATGACCATTTTCCTTCATAATTCCCCTTTTCTTTTTGGACAATTCAGACTTGTTTGGTTATTTTAAGAATGCACCGCTTAATGTAAGAACAATGTTTTCAGAACGCAGGAACTTGGGACCTTTTAAGACATTGAAGAAATAGGTTTATGAGGAGAGCCCATCTGAGTAAGTACTTTATCCAGCCATTGAAGGGGACCATGAAGATGTATTTCTATCCAGCATGGAGTGCTTGCTACATTTTGGTGATGATACTCAGCTCCCCAACCCTTTACAAAACTTATATGGAGGGTGCACATCTTAGTAAGCTCGTACACTGTCTCAAATCCATGATTAACTGATTGAGCCAACAGCTGAGCAAACTCTTGATTATTGAAAATTTTCAGACTGTAGCCACTGGGGATTTTGCAGACTGTGGTGGGATGGAACCCATGATGGTAGTGGCAGTTCCAACTTTGTACAAAAATACTGCTGTCGCTCAGACACTCAGCATACACCTCCCAACCAACATAACAGAGCACCTTTGCCAATATGCTGCCTAATGTTCTCAATGGTGGAGTTGTGGTTAACATTCGAGAGCAGCCCCAAGCAGAATCTGTTCTTATTGTCTGAAGGATCAGTGAAGCCATCCACCAAGATGCTGGTGGAAGAAGCATGGAATACCTCCCCAATGCGATTATGCAGCTCATCGTAGACAATGGAGCACCAGTGCTTTGCCTCTTCATAAGTGACTGCCCGAACATCTCTTCTGTGTATGTCAGGGGGAATTGCGGGTGCCATCATGATGGTATCCATTAGCTGGGAGGTATCACGTGTCATCTGACCTGCCAGAGGCAGGTAACAGGAGGGGGAGTATCAGCTGGCATCTAGAAAGGATTTCCTGGGTCTGAGCTGGCTGGAGAATGTGGGTAGGTGCTGCTGCTGCTTCCAGGCGAGTTTGAATAGGTGCTGTTGGGTGAGTGAGGGAACGGGTGACTACTGGGTTGCTGGAAAGAGTCTGAGAAACTAGCATTGTTTTGTCCCAGGTTGCAGAACTGGGCCAAGAGGCTGTGCTGAGGGTTGTACTCACTGTGTCTTGGGACCAGCACCAGACGGAGGACAGGACTCTCTACCTGCTCGTAGCGGTAGGGATTGATGCAAACCTCCTTCTGTTTCAAATCAAAGGGAAACTTGAAGCACTCCAGTGGTTTCAGTTCATGATGGCTCTGCAGGTCCAGCCAGCACCACACCCTACAGTAAATGACATGCAGGAGCCCTTTCCGGTGTGACACCTGAAGCCTGCCATCCAAGAGACGAGGAATTGTGACACAGTTGCTGGGCTGACCAGGACAGCTTAAGACTTTCTCCAGCTCCTTCATAGAACCCTTTTTTTTCTTCATTTTTTTCACTAGTGCCATCAACAGCTTTCTCTGCCCATTTTTCTTACTCATTGCTCTGTCTCCATCCTGACAGCCTCTTCACTGCTGGACTGGTAAAGGAGAATAAACTTTGGTTCCTAGGGCCCCACCGTATGGTAGAAACAGGAGGGTTTGTATCCACATGTGGTGGTCCAAGCAACTCTTCAAGTCTTTTTATCAACTGACGTATGGTTTTTTCAGTCTCTAGATTACTGTTTGGTGACGCTTTCGGGGGCGTATTATGTCCTGACGTGGGATTAGATGACGTAGAGGAGGAAGTAGTTGGATCCGAGGCAGGAAGGGGCGGCAACAACTTGGGGTGGTGACTCGTTGCTCCAGCCCCTGTCTCCTTTCCGTCTGTAACAAGCCCCTCCTTAGCCGCTTCTACGGCCTGTATTTCCAGCTTTGCTTCAGCCAGTTCTTTGACTTTACAGAGTTCACATCTGCCCTCTACTCGTGCAGCGATCTCAGCAGCAGACAATGCTACCGGACCCGACATCCCACGAACAGGAAACGCCGCTGAAGTAAACCCACAAAACCTCACAGCACGCCCCGGTTTTGCTTTAGACAAATCATTAGTCTGTGTTTCTGGTTGCAATGCCTCCACGGCAGCTGCGGCAACCTTGTGTTCCGCTTTTGTTTAATGCATTAACCACCTCCTGCCACACGGGTCCCAGTTCTTTTGCCATTTTGCCAGCCTTTCCACCTTCTATGGTACTCCACCACAACGCATCTTTCACTTCTCTCCATTCTTGGGGTTTGAACAGAAAGTCAGGGCTAAGGCAATATTCTCGCTTCTGACCCCAATGAACCAAGTCCATTAAATTGAGAATCACATTGCTCCCTCTCTTAGAGAGAATACTAGCAAGGAGCTGAACCGCTGCATCCGTTTCTAACGCCATCGTGGCTTACCTTTGCAGAGGACAACCTGGCCAGCATTGTCTCCTACTCAAGAAGTACATCTTTGCATCCCACTCCTGGGTTACTCTGTGTTACTTCGACCCTGTTTGCCTTCTAGCACCGCCGAATCCCTGGTCGATGCGTAGTTAAAAAGGGAGGCATCCCTGTTCAGGTGCCATTTGTCATGGTAGGGGTAGAGTCCGTGTAATGAGTGTACACACCAATATGATTTACAAACTTGTTCCAACTTTATTAGGCAACTGGCCAATATACGTAACATAAATGTAGTGCATGTGACAACCACACGCACAATAACAACTCATAATTGGTCCCTGAGCTCAGTTCACGCCCCACAACTGACTCCTCACTGGCACATCGAAAGCGTCCCACGAGGCAACTTTGTCTGAGGGCACTCCCCCCTTGTGGCTGCAGCATCCTGTTCTACACGTTACTAACACTGTTGTTTACTCAGGGTTTTGCCTTATACGGCTTCAAAGGTGATTTCAAGGACAACTGCAGTTCAGCAAGCCAGTCAGGATCGCCCAACTTTGTCTAGCAATACTGTATGACCATTTTCCTTCATAAATATCCCTAACAGTTTGCAAACATTTTTTTATTTTAAATATGCTGAAGTTCTCACATTAACATTCTAATACATACCCCCTATTAAAAACCTTTTGTTGTGGTAACAAAAGGATTGTGGGAATATTAGGTTTACAATATGCTGCAGCTATTATATATCATACAGATAAATCAATCTAATTCTGAAATCACCTTTTCTTTTTCTGTTTTACATAGACATAAATTTATTGAAGTAAGCTTTTTTTCGTTTCTGCTTTCACAGTGGCAATAGCGGGTTTAACTTTGTATTCTCCTAAGCAATATACAGTTTAAACAGCAATTAATATTTCTACAATCCAGTGGCATTAATCTAGACTCATAAAGAACAGAAACAATAAAAGTTTAGTAAAATGTAACATCACAACATCTTTCAGTGCAGAAGGGAAAACTTAATTCCGTGAATGATTTCAAAATATTTTTACTTTATGAAGGTGCACATTCATTTTGTTAGCCTTTCTAACCAGAAAAATAATGACATATTTGTGGCACACATACACATAGCACACAGCCACAGGCACATATATGCAGCATGCACAAATATATTAATATCAAAGTCATAAAATGTATACATAACTATTTTAACTATGTGACTGGAAGAGTAATTCAAGGTATGGCACATCTGGCACATCTAAACTAGCAGAATATATGTCATATTAGCTATGTTAGAAGTGTGAGGTAAAACCATAATAAAGACTGTCTTAATCCTGTTATGTTTATGCACAAAGAAAGCATCTTGTTTCCTCTATATTTCAGGTCTATGAACTTAGGTAGACTTCCTAAGACTACCTAGCTATCACAGCAGAAAGCTTTTGTTCAGGAAGTGAAGAAACTACAAATTCTGAAAGGGAACCATGTAAGCAAGTGTGTTTATTCAAGGTGTTTTTGACTGTAAAATGGATCTCAAAATGCTGTGTTGTTATCTGTTACCACTGGTAGATTTCTGTTTCAAATAACTTCAGCTAAGGAAAAAAGCACAACATCTTGTCTAGATATGGTCTTGCAAGTTCATCTTAGGCTTCTGTTCAGGATGGAAATTTTCCTCTTCCTACATTTGTTAAGTAATAAGTAAAGTCAAATTGCAGGATTGCATACCGCTATATATTCTTTTATCATATGTATGTTACTGAAATCATCAAGAAATTTATGCCTATAGGAAAATGAGAACACCTGGTTTTACTACGCGATTCACAAAGTAGAACGGAATAAGCCCATTCACTTTAGATGTGTGGCATTTTTCCAGTATTAACTGCTGAATTTTGCAGTTTACTTTCCAATATCTTCAGTTAATATAAACAGTGATAAGTAGCATTTTTGAGCAGCTAATTACCAGTCAATTTCATGCTGCCTTTTCCCAGGCCACTCAAACTGTATTGAAAACAGAGAGTTAACATTTCAGTTTTGGAGAAAATCAAGAAAGATAGCTTACCATCTTCAGGAATGGAGTTGACATGTCGTAATTATAAGCACCTTTATCCTTTAGGATAAGAATATGAGCAGAGTCAATTATCACTCTCTTCAAGTTCATTATTGAATGGAAAAGCCTGTTGAAAATTTTAAAGTCTTCATTAGTTTTCAGTTGTTTTTATTCAGTGTGATAACACGAAAAATTTACAGAATTCAAAAGTTCTGAGTTACAGAAAAATGAATGTCATTTTCAGTATCAGTATAGCATGAAATTAAGAACAGCCAGTTGCAATGGCTGATCAGTCTACAAAATGCAGAAGTATTCTGAATATCATTATATTCACACCTTGAATACTGAAAATAAGGTACATCTGTACCCCACTGTTATACTACAAAATGTATGCCTCAAAATACCAAGTACTTTTTCAAAATGCTAATCTTAGGAAAGTTTGTGTTTTATGTCTGATTTCCAGTATCTATAGTGGAGGCAAGCCTGAAATGCTGGTCACAAAGTCAAGATTGTGTTTAAGTAGGACTAGAAAAACAATCAGAAACACAAAAATTTAAATTATTACCATTATTTCCATTGCTTCAACTGACACAATGTCTACACATTCTTAAATACAGAGAGACATGTAATTTTATTTCTAAAATGAAAAAGCCTTTTTTTTCTCTCTGATAACTGAATGCATTGAACATGTTTATACTTTGCTTTAATAGATAAATTGCACATGTTTACACCTATGCTTTAATAGATAAATTAACAAATTTATGGAACTTAAATAATTAGTTTTAACTGAGAAAGAGTATTTTAGAGGCATTTAAAATGATAACATGTTTAACAGACATGCTGTACCATCAATCATCTACCATTATCTACCTCAAATTTACTAATGCTTAACATTCCAATATGTAACAATTTTCTGAACAAATGTATAATTAAAGCATACCATACACTCTTCTTCAAAGAAATTCCATGAAGTAGCTAGCAGAGTAATTTGTCAATACTAAGACAGCAACTAGCTACCAGATATAACAGGAATAAACAACATCAGACAAATGAAGCAGAAGATTAGCAACATGAAAAAGATTTCACACACTGAAAAACGGTAGGTTACAGAGGATGTAGTATTTTCCAAGGAATGTAAACTGAAATTAGCATGTCTCTTCATCATTTCTTAGCACAGGCAGATATAAAGTGTTCTTCTATGCAACAGTTACTGCATGAAATAATAGCCCTGTTATTAAAGAACTCTCAGTATCACATCTACCTAGCTTCCTTTGAAGCCTCAGAAATTTGGTTTGGACATCAAATTCTTACTTCAGAGGATCAAAAAAATATTTCATAACAGAAGAGCATGGGCAGCCAAATCCACTTGGCTTGTGGAGCAAGACTACACTTTCAGTACCGAGTATAGTGCTAGCTATAGCAAATCAATATCTCTGAAATACTTTTGGTTTTAAAAAGCAAAAGGAAAGATTTAAGTTTACATATTTATAATAAATTACCTGGTGCCATAATCCACAACTACCCAGTCTTTAGATGTTCCTGTAATAGCATCATGATGCTGAAAGAGTCCAAGGTTCCTCCTAGCTTCTGTCAGCAATTTGTAGTTATCCACTGAAGGAAATACGCTCATCTTCTCAGATTTACTGGACTGTACCAAAGCCATGGAGTAGAGGATTTCAGCTGCCCTGAAATTGTAGAGAAGAATACAATATTTATGCAAGTTTAAAAAGCAAAGAGCAACACATGTTTTACCTGAAGAATAACTGAAGTTTTTACATCTTTCCTTACACCTAGTTCTGAGAGTTCTTTAAACCTTAATCTTGTACTTTTTAGTCCGTTTCTAGCTTCAAACAGTTAAAAATCACTGCTGCACTTCATCATCATTTTACACCTTGCAAGCCTCCTGCAAAGCTTCAGTGTAGGAAAATACAGCTTTAAAGTAAAAATGTGACAGTACAAAGCAACATACCATTTTCCTAAATGTGTGAGGTACAGATCTTAACTTAAAATGACAAGGATAGACTGCCTTAGAGGAAACGTGCAGTTTCCATTTCAAAAAACAACTTACTAAACAGATTTATCTTAAAGTAACATAGTAATCTATACACTCTATGTAATATCTATTCTGCCACGTGTACTTTAAGCAAATTAAATTCTCCTAAATACTTAGGCAGTTCATGCACCTGCTCACTACACATCCACCTGAACGGTTAAGAACACTAGATTAAAAAACCCTTAGACTGAACAGAATGTAGAGCCCTTTTCTCCTATTTCTTATGCAAAAGCCTAGCACTAAAATACTATTAGGTTCTCATTTGCTTTACAAGAATCTAAATTTGCTTTACAAAAGAACAGCTCTCTAATTGCCAGCCAATATGAATATCTGACTAAAAAAAAAAGGCTGTAAAAATTCTGGGAAACCATCTGTTAACTTTTTTTCCTATCTCCTTTTCCTAAAACATTACACTTCTGTTTTTTCAGTCTGAAAATGGTCATATCCTTTTCCAACTTTATCTGCATTTAATGAAGGTTTCTCAAGTGTCTGAATAAACCAAGTTGAAACAGGTTGATGTTATACAAAGCAAAATAACATACGCTCTTGAAACAAATGTAAAACTAACTTCTAAACATGTAAATAAAAACAAAATTAGAAAAAAGGAAAATAGATTAATTTTTACATTTACCCAAGCTATCAGAGAATGCATGTGTTCCAATTTAAACTAGGCACAACAAATTTTAAAATAATTCTGAACTTAGGTTTTCAGACTGTGCATTAATATTAACATGAAAAAGACATCTGGATTCAATTTAGTCTCTTTGTTTTTATACATCGCATAGGTGACATGTAAAAGCTGCAACTAACATGTATCAAACTGAAAAAGGTGCACTGTACATGCAATAGCTCAATTCTTGTTGTCAATATTTGAGGAATAGGATGAGATTTTGCTCTTACAGATAAAATAACTGCTCAGAAGCTACACACAAAATAAAGGTGTTAAAATTTCTGATTGCTTTTTTTACTACTAATGTACTTAAGCTTAATGGCTGTGACTTTAAAGTTTCTTAGTGAAAATTCCTACATCTATGCATTCCTCCTACTTTGTTCTATTACAGCTTAATTTGAAAGGAAATCAAGTATATTGTAGTTCAAAAGGCATCAGATGCACATTCAACTAGTGGATAATGCCTGTCTGAAATGGGTGGTTTGTTGATTTATTGTGTTGTTTTTTTTTTTAAATTGGCCTAGTCACTAAATACCAACCCAACTGTAGCTATGAAGTAGAAAAAACAAAAAAATTTTGTCCTCAAAATACAAGTCAGATCTCTCTCCCCACAATCCACCTCAAATTATTAGTTTGTTTGTTGTTTGTTTGTTTTTTTTTCTTTAATGGGTAAGTTCATTACTTATAAACAAGGTAACAACCTTAAAACCAAAAGAAATAACATCAAAGTGAAGCTGTACAGTAAACACATTTTCAGTTCATACTGTTTCCAGAACTTCATTTTAAATCCATTCTGTCTACAAGGAACACTTGAAACACTTTTGCCTTTCAGGGAAATAACTGACTTTGTTTTACAGATCTATTCAGTGCACCAGTCTCTTAGATACAGAATTTTCCTTTCAAGTCTCAATACTATTCTAAAATTAGAATGGTTCAACAGTCAAAGATGAAAGACACTCGTGAAACCACAAGAAACAAATCAGGAAACACTTCAAATTCTAAGTAAGCATTACCTCTCTCTAGTATCTTTCCATAAAAGCTGTATAAAAGCCTTGGGTTTCTCACCTCTATTTCAAACTACTGCAGATTACCTAAAATAGTTAACACAGATTTTCCACTTTATTGTAATTTGTCACTGTATCTCTACCTGATAGGACACTGCAAATAGACAAAAGTTTGCTTTACTGATTGCTCAAAGCCTACACTAGGCTGGGTTTTTTTGGCAGACTTAGCATATTTTTTTTCTGGATTACATCTGTAAAAATTGAAATCACAAAAGGCATTCCTAATTCATCTCTAACTATGATGTTTTTTGTTATTACATTAAACAAACTTCTGGTCACTGATTTTATCACCACCAAACTACTTTAATCCGTCCATCTCTCACGTAGGATTAAAAAATCAATTGTGTCTCAAATCAGCATTGATGTCACTCTCCATTATAAATTCCTTGAACTTTTATGCACTTTCTTTAATGCACAATCCAAAACTACTTTAAAACCAGGAAAAACCCAAACAATCAACTCTTCTTTCTTAGATGTCCAGCCATCATGGCAGGTCTGGAAGTTGAACATTGCTAACAAGTAGTAGTGAAGTACTTCTTAATCCTGGTACTGCTGGAACTTAAAATCATTCATCCTTGGTAAAGAATACAGACATTTAATCCCCGTTCATAGTTCATTCCCAGATACACACATATATATACACACACATACACACTAAATAGATAAATGTAAGTCAGATGAAAAAGAACTATGTAAAAATTAATCACTAGGCTGGAGCAAGGGTATTATTAATCAAATATGATCACAATTTATTCCTCTGACTAAAGAAAACCAGAAAGATAAAACCCCAAATTCTGCTGTTTTTACAGCTAATATGCTATCCTTGAAATTCTCCAAGTCTCTGAAAGCAAAACTGCCAAAAAACCTGATATTAAACTGGCAAGAACACATCTCTACAATTTGTTCTTACATGTTACTCATGGATAATAATGAAGGCTGAAAAACTTCCCAGGTACATTTTTAGAAATGTGCTTTGCTTTAATTCATAAGACTAAAGGTTTAGTTTTGTTACAGAGGTTCTTTATCTGTAAATTAGCACCTTTTCCAGAAGTAAAGGTAACTGAAATTCTTACATGAAGGAATATTTTAACAGTGTGAAGTTGTAAATACTACCCATAAACTTTAAAGCAATTCATATGAAGATTTCCACAAAGTAATAAAAACCAGAAAAATTATAACACACACAGTTAAAATTTTTGAGAAAATAAACTATAACTAAGCTAACAGAAAATTCTGGGTGCATTTTAACAAACAGAAAGGAATTTAGGGCCAAGTATGAAAAACAACTAAGTAGGGAAATTCATTTTATAAGGACATCTGTACTGTTTTCTGTACATCTTGTCTTTTCCAATAGCAGTATTAAACAAGGTTGTTTTCACTGAAAATCAAAGATTCTTATGATAAACAAGCTAATGAGAACAGAGGTAATTAGCATTTATAATGTTGATACAATGAGTACAAAATAAAATGCTTCTAAAAATCATATTCCTAGTCATTCTTGATACTCTATTTGTAAACTATTTCTGAATAGTTGTCAAACTTCCTAACTACCGTTGGCTATATAAATGCCCTATTTGTAATCTTCTATCATTCTTGGCTTTGTACATAAATTAAGCTTAACACTTGTAACATTCCAAATTTCTGATTAAAACACCGTAAAAGTCACTCCTTTGAAGGCTTCTCCTTACTACATTATTTTTACATTCTTCTGCCAAAGGGATTCTAGCCTTGCTTTTTTGTCATTCCTTTTAGCTTTGGTCTCATTTTTCTTCTCCTTCGTGACAGTCTTTGGCTTCTTTCCTCCCTGCTTTCCTACTTGTGAAACTGTGTGAAGCTTGCTGGCCTTCAAAGTTATGTTATACAGTCTGTTCCCTAACACTTTTCTATTCTCAAGCCCTTGACTTCACTTCTCCTTACACACTTCAATCTTTCTGCTGCTTTCCTTTCATCAGTAATTTTCCTGATTTCCTCAGGCCTCCGTATTCTTATTGTGCAGAGAGGAGTCTAGAAAAAGCTACTTTCATTACAAGAAAAACATACTACAGATCACAGAGTAGCTGTGTCTCAAGTTTGCAAAGCCTCCACTTTACCAAAGACTTGATTCATTGGAAGAAGCAAAACAAATTCTGCTAGATACAGGTTTCTCTTCTAAAAGGCACTTGTATCTGCCTCCAAACACTACTTTCCACACCTCTCTTGCTCCCTCCACTACTGCAGCAGTCATTACAACACACACAAGAAAAAGTTGTAAGAAATTCTTAAGGAAGAATCGATTTCTCAGCAGTACAGAAGTTCTTCTCTGACAGAAAAAGGTCTGAACAGCATATAGCAGCACTACAATAGGTGTATTTTAAAGGGTCCTTCCACACCACAAAAAGTGTCCTTTGACCCATGATCCTTGAAAGAATAAACTTCTGGAAACAGAATTTTCAAGTTTTGGCAATAGATGAAATGTCCAGGGTTTACATCATAAGCATCTGTCCCAGATCTCTTTCTGGGGCCTTAAAATACAGTCAAATCGCTTTACAATGTGTCTTACCTACTGCTGCTACAAGGGAGAACCACAGAATTATTCCATTACCAAAACTCATCACTAATTTTTTCTTTAAAGACAATGTAAACACTTTTCAGCAGAGCACTACCTAACAATCTGAGATCACATGGCACAGTATTTCTGACTACTTCTCAACTGCCTCAACCCTTGTAAAATTCACACCTTTGTATTTCTCTCTAAAAGAGATAAACACTCTATAAAATAATGATAGATTGATCTGACAGCTACCCAAATCCAATCTAGAAATAAAAAGCACACTACCTATTTTTCATGGAATCAGGACTTGATGCTCACTTTAATAGTATTTTAGAACAATTTATTTGTTTGGATGGAAAAATACTGTTATATTTCTGTGAGTTTACTAAAAAAACATACACAACTAATGCTTGTAACAAGAACTACATTTAAGCTATCCTTAATGTAAGTAAATTTAAACTGTACATTTGAAAATTACTTTTCCATCTGTACAACAGATTTAAAATACTTATACATTCTTCTCTCCTGTGTGCCAAGACATATGTTATCAATTTACCGCAAGTAGGATTCCAGGACTCTATCCAGTCGTTTATAGAAGGGTCGTGATGTAAAGTATCCACTCCAGTAATGATGATCTCTGTCTGCATAGGTGAAGAAGTCTCCACTTAAAACAGGGAAAAATGAATTGCTGCTCTTCTCACCCACATTGCTTTCTTTGCGCAGAGCTTCAAAGTAATCGGATAAAGTCCCAAACTGAGCCTAAATGAAAGTTAAAATTACTACAACATAGTTCCATTTTCTTTATTTAGACATATGAAAAGATTGAATATGATTTGTTTAATATATATTTCAGAAATATGCCATCTTCCAGCAGAATTATAGCAGAAATCCTATCCTAAAGAGCTTTAAAGTTTCCCTGCACACTTTTTAGACAAGCTGAATAGCTCTTCCAAAAGCATTTCAACTCAGTACAAGACACAGACCTGTTGGAGTGGGTCTACAGGAGTGCCAGGAAAATGATCAGAGAAATTAAACATCTCTGAGCAAAAGCTGAGACATTTGGCGTAGTTTAGACTGGAGAAGAAACGACTCTGGGGAGACCTTATTGTGTCATTTCAATACTTAAAGAGAGAATTTAAGAAAGATGGGGATAGGCTTTTTTGTAGGGCCTATAGTGGCAGGACAAGGGATAATACTTTTAAACTAAAAGAGAGCAGATTTAGACTACATATATAAGGAAGAAACTTTTTACAATGAGGGTGGTGAAACACTGGAACAGGTTGCCCAAGGAGTTGGTGGATGCCCCTTCCCTGAAACTGTTCAAGGTCAGGTTGGACGGGGCTTTGAGCAACCTGACTTAGTTGAAGATGTCCCTGCCCATTGCAGGAGGGTTGGACTACATGACTTTTAAAGATCCCTTCCAATTCAAACCAATCTAGGATTCATGAAATACAATTTTTATTTTTAAGTATAAATTGTTATCTAAAATACAAGCTAATTCTCAACAAATAAGCAAATGTTTTGTGTCTTGAGTAAGTCTCTAATACAGTAGTACAGTAATATCTCAGTGTTATGTACATAGATGTCTGAACTAAATAAGAAACAATGTAATCCAACAAGATCATAGTTGTCTTAATCCTGTGTTTTCAAACACTGTTGTGCTCCAGATCTCCAACATATGCTTAACCCAAGATGACTGTTGATAAAAAAAATTAGCATTTGCTTTCAGAAGCTGGGGTGTTTTTTAAACTATGTACACAAAGAAATTGTGTTTAGAGATGCAACATGAGGAGCACAAAAAAATTCATTATATCCTAGTCATTTTTAAAAGTGCTCAGACAAATAAGGTAGTAAGAGCCCTTTACAGAATAGGCTGAAAAGACAGTACCCTCAAGAGAGGTATGAAAAAAAGGGGGAATTAAAAAAGGGAAAGGGACTGATATCAGTGTTTACAGCATTGAGAGATGTTGTTAAAGAAGGCATAGATGACAAGATTGATTTTGAATGAAAGTAGAAAAAAAAATAATTGAAGTGGGAAGAACACAGAAGATCACATTACCACAAGTATTCTCATAATAAAATATAAATGAAATTAAGTAACTTTTTTGGGGGTTGGTGTTTTTTTTTTAAATTTATCTTTAACAAGAAGCATTTGAAGTAGCATGCTACAATTTACAACACCAGAAAACAAGCTTTTAGTAAAAAACTTTTTAAAGTGACTTGAAATATAAGGACTAGTACTGTGACAAATATCTGCTATTACAACATTTAAAAAAAACAAATCTAACAGTATTCATTCTTCAAGATCATTCAGAAGATCCAAGTATCTGTTCGGTGGATACAGTACAATAACTTGCCACTTTCAATGGCAGTAGAGAAAGAGACATACTGCCACAGAAATCCAAATATTAGTGATCCTTGCCTTATCGGGCACTTTGAGGACACTTGGCCTCTGCCCTCACTATCATAGACACCTATAAGACAGAATGAAGGAGAAAAAGCAAACAAAAAAAATCAACGGATGAAAAGAAATTTGGTATAGGTTACATCATGCTGAGTTACATCAAAAGAAGAAAACCTCACCAGAGAAACCAGCAAAGTTGAAAAAAATTTATTCTAACATTGGATGAGTGGAAACAGTGAAAAAACCTGGTAGACTCTTCTATTGGCATATAAAAAGTCTCAGCTTAATTTATACATGGTAGGTGTGAAGGAGATCTCCAAACAGGAGACTAAACTTCCTGAGACCAAAAGATATCTATTACAGTACTCTATCACGTACTTTTAGGACCATAAAATAGTTCCTGGTGCGAGAATCTCAATGCTAACAGACATATCCACTAGATAAACATCTCAAATTTGTCTGAAAGGGTCAATCTTTTATAAGATCAAAAAGGCAGAGTATGCAGTACCTTGTGTAAGTAGTAATATCCTTAACATCTCAGCACTTTAGTAAGAAATGTGAACTCTTCCTTTACATAATCTCGGGCTAAGTCTAGGCTTTTAGGAAGCTGAGCATGGCCTGTAAATTGCCTGTGGAGTTACAGTCCATTAGGGAAAGTGCAACAGAGTGTGAAAGTTCTCTACCTAAGCTTGTATTTCCAAGCACAAATGACATCAGGTTAAAAAAAAATGCCAAACAACCTAACAAACAAAACCCAAAAAACAAATAAGGGGATGGGGGTGGGAAGTGGGGGGTGGCAGGGAAGAAATCTAAAACCCAACTACATAAATAAAATTAAAAAGAAACACTCTGGTGCCAGCAGTGCTCCAGCTGAGCAAAGCACCCGAGGTATGAAGTGGATTAATCATATATTGCTTATCTTTTTGTCTGGGTATTAAGAACCAGAAAAAGGATGGATACTTCTGTAAGGACTTCAAGGGATGGTGTGATTCCCAAGGCATTAAGACAGGTGGGCAAGCCAGGGCTAATGAAGTAGACTCTTAAGAGTCCTTGACAATGGGCCGAGCAGAACCTTTCAGATAAGGATCTTTGAGATGCCACTGGACAGAAGTCGTCCTTGAAGAATGACATCAGAGCTAGAGCCTTCAGTTTTCCTCCTAGAGAAAAAAATCATCCAGACCAGGATAGTAGAAATGAAGACCTGCAAACTATACCCATTTTTGAGGAGAGTAAATCTGGTGATAGCAGAAAGCTTGTAATTTAGAAGATGGGCTTTAAATTTAAACAGAGCATTCTCCAAGTTTATCTCCCTCCACTAAGATACAGCACGGATTCACATACATCATGTCACCCACATCCCACAGGAAATATGCAAAATCCAGCTCTCAGAGAAGCTGTCTTCCTAAGACATTATCTGCATAACACAAATCCAGAAGTCAGCAGGAAGAACTAACACACCACTACTTAACTCTGCAATTAGAGGAACGTGAGGTGGTCTCAGAAAAGGTGAAGAAAAAAAGGTGCACAAACAAAACATGGGTTTCAAAAGCCTAAATGTGAAAGCAGCAATAGTGTACTCTCATGTGATACTCAAAAAAACCAAGGTTGTGTTCCCTTCTTTCTTATTCCCATGAAGAAAGATGATGAAAAGGTGCCTGAATACAAAGAACATCTATAGTACATGAAGTCTCCAAAGTACTAAGTTTACACATTAGAATGTATTAATGTGCATATTAACACTCAAACATAACGATTGAAGTGATATCTCATCCAATAACTGTGCTAGTATATTCAGTCCTTTTGTAGCCAGGTCTATCTCTTAAGATTTTAATGTATTCAACAAAATGTGCTAGCAATGGCACCTCTTAGGATTTTTTGTTTGTTTCTTTTGGGACATAAAACCAAGAGGACTCAAGCACAGCAAAAAAATTCACTCAAATTTCTAATAAGAAAATACAACAGTTTTAAATAAGAAAGCCTGCAAGCCTTAAATAACAATGCCTGAAGCCTGTGAAAACAAAAGTACTATGAAAACAATTAAACTTAATAGCTGTTCTCTAAAATAATTTAGTTTGGATACTATTTATAGTTTTCAAGCAGGTGTTATTAATAACAAAGTTTCCATTTTGGAGAGGAGGTGGCAAAGGTAAAAAATATGTAATCTGCCAAGACAAACCAGTCTGTTGTTAGAATATATAAAGCTCCACAGTTTAAAAAAAAAAAAAACAACAACAAAAACCTACAACTTTTTTCCACGTAGAATCTCAAGATTCCAAGAAATACTGTTTTCTCCACAAACCAGAGAAAGTGTTGCATTTACCTTCACATGCCACTCAGGCTGAGAGTTCATATAATCAAAGAGCTTCTGATAATTCTGGTACTGCTGATCCCATTCTGAGCTCTCAGCATAACGGAAATCATCCCCTAGTGGAGCCAACAGAACTTTAGTACGGAAAAGCTTTGACTTCTTTCTGTATTGATCTAAAATCATCCAAGCCCTTGAGGGAGAAAAAAAGAAAGCAATTTAGAAAACAGAAGAATAAGGGTCAGCATTTGATGAAACAATTCTTGTTGTGCATTAGGCTGACCCTAAACAAGACAAGACATAGAAAACTCTATCTCATTTTGCAACAAAAAAGCTGGATGCAATCCCCCACAGTGGGACATATCACATTCAACCTACTATTGTTGCAAACATTATGCTAAATAATTTCTGCTAATAAGCTTATCAAGGTCCATCTCAAACAGTAGTGCAGCCTTCATCAATTTGTTCCTATGCTTAAACTAACCTTCAGTTTAAATTATGTTTACCTGCTTTATATTTAGCTAAGAATCATAATCCTCTCCAGCCCTTATTTACAATAATAAGTAAGCTCTTCTCATCCCCTCTGGTAATTCCCTTGGATACTTTGCTTCTTATCTTCATGTCCTTGACAGAAAAGCTGTCTACAAATTAAACTTTGAGGAGCTCCAGACTTGGAAAAAAAAAAATTCTGGAGGAATTTAACTACTGATAGTCACTGTTCCCCCTTCAGCCAGCTTCTTGCTGTCTAAGAGACAGCCCTCTTAAGCTTTAAGCACATGTCTTGAAAAATTAAACACACTGATTTTCTGCTTTTGACCTTTAAAAAAACCCCAAACAAAATACTCAAACATACAAACACAGAAAAAATGCAGTAAAATTATTCTTTGGCACTTAGTAACTCTTTGGCAGGTAAAATACGAGTTTTGTCATTAAGCAGCAATATATTAAAAGCTACAAGTTGGATGTCTGTGTTACTGGAAAGGTCTATTTCCTTCCCTCTCCCAATCACAATCACTATCGAAATCTTCAGATGCTGATCCTATCTAATTAAAATTATGGAAATAAATTTAGTAGGGAGCATGAATCATAGTAACATATTTAAGAAAACATGAATATAAATTACAAAGTTATAAATAAGAAATAGCAGCAAGTTCCAGATTCTAGTGAGCTTTTTGTTTCCACAAGAATTTTTGATAGATGGCCTACTGAAATCTACATTCAACTCATAATCTTGAAGGTCTGTTCTACAAAAATCCATGTGAGAACTGAATCTAGTCCAGTATATTTGAAACCCATATTTCTTTGACCATCAAGTCAGTGTTTATTTATGAGATTATAAAAGTATTGAGTGAACATGAGGTCTGACTGTATATAGGAGGGAGAAAGGTTGCACAACAGTATCTTTAGTTAAGGATCTATGTAATTCTGCTGAGACTAGAATAGACTCAAGTAGCAGCTACCCCCACTTCTCTGTCTATAGTTTGATTATACATCAGATTACCAAGTATTTATGCTTGAATCAATGTTTTCTGTAACTTTCAACAGGTTGCCAATTTAAACAGAGAGACTTCCTTTCCACACAACCAACGGAACAATTGGCATAACACAAGACTTTGCAATTCTATATTCTAAGAAGCCAGCCTAACACAGCTTTTCCACATACAGCCTATGGTTGGAATAAATTTTTGGTTTAATACAATCAAAAGTTCTGGGAATTGTACACAAGACACATTTCGTACTTCTCAATATTCACAGCAACCCTAATTGAACAAGAAGAAAAAGAAGTTGGCAACACTTAAGTACATCAACATTGTCAGTACCGCCCCAAGAACATTTTCCGTCTTTCTTTGGGAAGCTTTAAGATTGCCACTGAATGCTTAAGACCTTTCACAAATGAAGAAAACCCCTTCATACTGCAAATGTGTTCTTTTAATGCAAAAATTCCAAGTACTTGGCTAAAACATATCAAAACAATTAATGTTGCTGGTTTTGCGCCTTCCTATGTCAAAGGAGGAGGAGCAATAGCCACTTAAGACTCTGTGGGAATCACAAGAAATTTTGCAGAAGCTATAGCAAGTCCTGTGTGACAGTTTTGACAGTGGTCATGGCTTCACAGTCCCTACTACTTCAGACCATACAGCACATGAAGCATTAGGGATTCACTCTTTGCACAATTATCTCAACTAAAAAACAAAACCATTTGGTGGGTTGGTAATTTTCTATTCTGGTAAATTTGTGGAGCAGATGGCTAAGCAGACAGGATGAGTACTTTCTATGAGAGTGATCTCAGATTCACAGATTCTTGAGGTCAGCAATCACAAATGTTAACCACCAGTGTCACATCAGCAATGTAAATCTGAATGCCAGTTGCATGTTTTGCAATGTGACCAACCATAAAGCTCAAGGATAAAATTGGGCTCTTGAACAGCAGGAGCTGAAGGGCAGAGTCCATTTTCTACTCTGAAGCATATAACTTGCAGTACAGACAACAACACAACTCATTCCCAATCAAGGAACAAAAAACAACAGCTGGTTTTTCTTGCTAGTGTGAAAAGCTAGAATTTCAGCATTAGAACATATGGATAAGGATGCAGCTGCAAAACAGGGCAAGTGCAACAGCAATCTTTATAAGCTAAGCTGTTACGAACTGTAATTTAAAAAGTACAGGCTTTGAATTAGGCTGCTGTTTCATTTCTTCCTATCAAATCACAACTAAAGAGTAAGGCAATGATAAATCCAACAGCTACTAGTCTTAAATTTTCAATTCAATATCTCTTCAGTATATATGTATGGCTGTAATAGTATTGAAATCAAAACCAACAGTCCCAGCTGAGTATTCAAGATATGTGTTTTACTAATTCTGTTGGCAGCTTTAGCACTGAAGAAAGGTCAGTAATTTAAACCTTTGTTCTAAATTAATCAAGAGTGTATCAAAGACATTTTTCAGATCCATGTGGTGCAGATCTGTATTGTTCTAGTCTTAAAAAACAAAGCAATCAGAAATGAGAGATTGATTAATTAGTGCACTACAAACCTTTAACCTTGGAAAGCTTATGATGTAAAGATAGGTTTTCTAATTACTTCTCAATCTTGTACATCTCCTAGTCATAACTGTAAAACTTGTACTGTTATGGAGGTCAGATCAAAGAAGTTTTTAGTTGCCTACAATATTCCAACTTTTCATAAAATATGAGTAGTGTTTTTAGCATTCCACACCAAAACACTACTTCCTATGTTTTAGTGGATTTATTTGAAACTACAATCTCAAAGTATGGTTCCAGTGTTCCTTCCAGTGTTCCAAATGTAAGTCATGCAGGTTCACAACCCGTTTGACTTTTCGCTTATTAGGTATGATCTACTATACTGATGTTTCAGGTCCTATTAGACACCAAAACTGCTTTTAGCTGCCAAAAGCTGATGCAAAAGATTAAATTTCCCTCTACAAATACCTGAAAGGAGGTTGCGGAGAGCTGGGGATGAGTCTCTTTAACTGAGTAACAAGTGACAGGACAAGAGGTAATGGCTTCAAGTTACGACAGGGAAGGTTTAGACTGGATATTAGGCAGCATTTCTTTCCAGAAGGGGTTGTTAGGTGTTGGAATGGGCTGCCCAGGGAGGTGGTGGAGTCCCCATCCCTGGAGGTGTTTAAGAGTCGGTTGACATAGCACTGAGGGATATGGTGTAGTTGGGAACTGTTAGGTTAACGGTTGGACTGGATGATACTCAAGGTCTTTTCCAACCTAGATGATTCTGTGAAGTTTCAAAGACCATACTGAGATGATGATCTCTGACTTGATCATACTTTTATTACATACCTACCCTAATTCTTTTATTGTTTGATTTCATATGACATGGTGAAAGAACCATTTTTTTTACAAGGTCTAATTTCGATTGTTATGCAAAGGTTATATCTTGAAGTGCAGAGATATGATTAAGTACCTAAAGGGGGCCAACAAGAAAGCTGGAGAGGGACATTTTACAAGGGTATGTAGTGATAGGACAAAGGGTAACAGTTTTAAACTGAAAGAGGGTACATTTATATTACATATAAAGAAGCAACTCTTTACTGTAGGGTGGTAAGACACTGGAACAGGTTGCCTGGAGAGGTTGTGGATGCCCCCTCCCTGGAAGTGTTCAAGGCCAGGGTGGTGGGGCTCTGAGCAACCTGATCTAGTGGAAGGTGTCCCTGCCTATGGCCGGGGGTTGGAACTAGGTCCAACACTAACCATTCTATTATTTTTTGAGTTCTAATTAAAACCCAAAATCCTAAAAAGCATTCCAAGCAGGGTCTCTTCATTACATTTAGAGCCAATATGTTCCAGATATTTGTTAAACAAGCTGTTACTCTTCTACAAACACTCATCTCAGCTAATGGGATACATACTGAAGACTTCTTTTACAACTCTGATTTAAAGACGTATGAGCTTCCCTTCACATCTGATAAGCACTGCACGTGTCATAATGATTCTTCTTAATAGAATAGCTTATGCTCTTAGCTAATACTCTGCTTTTCTCCTGTCATGTACAGCTTTAATTTTTCTACTTTTAAAGAAAATAACTTCTTCGTATCATTCCAATTTCTACCTTAAAATATGACAATTGTGATATATTCTGTTTTATTTTGGTTCTATCTTTGATGAAATTTTGTAACTTTGTAAATTTTACTGACAAAGTGTTTGGGATATTTGGCAAAATTCATAGTCAGAAAAAGGACATGTAGACAATCAGAAAAAGGACATGCAGACAATCACTGGATCATCATCACTAAGACTAGAACCTAAAAGTCACTCTGCTATCCTTAATACATTTGTTACACTCAGCAGCAATTTGCAACAATTGTAAACACCTACCTAAATTTCAAACTCTTGAGCCTGGGGATTGTTTGAAGGCCTGAAAATAGTAACAGGACTGTAGAGTATAATATTTTTCTGGAAAAACCTTTAGCAGTTCTATTCTCTCTTTTTTCCTCCGCCCTTCTCCCAGAATTGAAAAGTAGTTTTGTAAAACTGTAAACTTGGTTCCTACCCATGGCACTGCAAACTGTTGTTTCTATTTGAAAAATAAAATTGATGCTAATATGATTTCTGTCTCCAAGACACAGGACTCCGTTTAAAATGTCCACTTCAGGAAAACTAGGCCACAGATTGCCAAGTTTTGCAAGGATATCCTATGGAACATATCTCACCATTTGCCGTTACAGCACACTACAACATGTTGTTCCTGAAGACTTCTGCTGGCAGGAGACAGATGACTGTCTACACATAAAATTTGCGAAAAACACAGTAAACCAGTAATATGACTCATGTATCATGAACAGAAAAGAAAAAAATCTAATACACCTTCCTTAATTATAACTTGTCTTCAAATTTCACTGCCAATTATGTTCTGAATATATGAACAAACACTAGGTTAAGTAATAGGTATTATTTTCCCAAGACAAGTTTATTTTAAAAACTATATTACTTCACCAAACTATGCTATATATAAACTTTGACCAGCATGTTACTTTTTTTTTAAAACTTATTACCTTTCAGAATATGTAAAAACTGTACCTGTGTTGAACATTTCCAGCATGAATAGCTTCTGGTGGAACTCTCCATGGACAGCTTACTCTTCCTCCAGGAAGACGTTTGAAATCAAACTGGCAGCAGATTTTTGGATCTGGACCACAAGTATGAGGAACATCATAGCTATAGAAAGGCATCATATGACAAAGGATATCTGTACTGGATCCCAAATCTGGAATTAAATACATAGAGCACACCACTAAATCAATTCCATGTTCTTAATCCAAAAATTGTATCAAAAACATCAGATCAAGACAATTTCTTGCTTTGAATATCCATATCTGGAGTCTAACTTTGTATGTACCTTACATATAGAGTCTAAAGGCAGAGATACAACCGAGACTGGAATGTTGCAATCAGGCACCAGTTGATTAAGAAAGATAGGAACAAAATATCAGGGTTTTTTTACTCAGATAAATCTCATTATTTCTGGAATTTTAGATGTGAACAAAACAGATCTTTTATACTTCAAGTGAATCAAAAACAAAACCAAAAACAAACAAACAAACAAACAAAAAAACAACAACAAAAAACATAACCAACAAGAAAACCTAAACCAAAGCAAAATCAAAACTCAACCACCCTGCTGTCATTACCTCATTAGAAAAACACCTGAATTGGTTAGCCTTAGCAATATCTTAATTTCTTGAACACATAACTTCAATACATTAAGAGTCTACATACTTGTATATAGATTCTGTGTGCTTTTACATAAATTACATATAATTCCATGCACTTCTGAGACCATCTTTGCTATCCTAACTTTTTAATCTGGTCAGCCCATCCCCTAAAGTTTAACCCACCAGGAGCAGAGATCGACACACATTTTCTCCAGCCTCAAAAGGTCTTTCAAAATTTACCTTTAAAGAGAGCCTTAAGTTCTCACAGAACTTTCGAGAACCTTGGGTTTACTTTCTGCTGAAACCCCTAAATGCTAATTACCTCTTTCCAGCACTAACAAATTGTAATTTCATGCGGAAAAAAAGGTATGAGTGCTGTATTATAGATGTGCCACAGAACCTGGCTCCCAAGTATGTGAAAAATACATATGAAAATACTCTTTAAAACCTTAACAGCATAAGTCTTCACAGTTTCAATCCAGACCTTTTGTTCAAAAACTCCTATTTTACTACCACTTCCTTATAACTAAAAGGCAATATTCCACAAATAGATGCACTTACTTTTCAACTACAGGAGTTCTCTATCTCATGTACATCTACACATTATGCCATCTACACATCTACACATGATCACATCTATATATTATGCCATGTGAATGTGCAGTGATCTTTGATAAGCGATCTGTTTTGAAAAGCCTTCTTTTGAAGCCCAAACACTAGACCATATCGTACATGTGATTCACATATGCAACTATTTAGGAAAAAGGCCCAACAATTAAGCATTCTGTACAATGAGTGGCATACACCAACATTCAAAGAACAATTTCTGACATGTTCATATCTGACAAGCTCTTTCACAGTAGTATGTTTTCCTCAAGTCAAGCTTACTGTGCAGCAGATTGCTTTCTCTGAAAACCCTCCTTCCTATAATTTCTGATTAAAACATAGAGGAACTAAAAAGCTTCAAAATTACCACCACACTGAATTATAGGTACTAAATACATTTGTTTGACCCTATATTGATAAAGCAGTGGCATATTACATTACTTTAAACAAAAGAAAGACCAAAACCTCAACTACATGCATTCATCATACACCTTATTGGCATGCTGGTACAGTACAAAGCAAAGCAAAATAATCATAAAGATACCTTAATTTACAGAGACATCAGTTTGATAATGTATAATCACTACATTATTGAAGAAGAATTTCATACTCTATACTGTATAAATAATCTCAAAAAAGCAATTGTATTTATTCTAAGAGTAAGGTTTTAGATGAGAATTTCATTGCAATTAAAATGGTGAAATGCTTTTAATCCACTTTTCTGACTAAAGATAACCTATAAATTTCAAGTCCACAAAAGCTACTCTAACTAATGACAGTAATTTGTCACACCAGCTGGTTGCTTGAAAGTTTCTTCCATAGTAAGAATGCAAAAAAACAGACTGAAATAAACATTCACTTTTTACTTCCTCCCTTCCAGCCAAAAGACACATTCCTTCTCCACTTTATTTTCACATAGTAGGAGTAAGAGGAGGAAAACTAAGTGAGAAAAGGAAAAAAAAAACACTCCACCCCATTTACTTTTTTTATAAATATTTGAAGCAATGTGGGAGAAGGGAAATAAGAGGAAGTAAAAGCACAAATGTAAGTGAAGAAACAGGAAGATGAGAGGAACAATGGCAATAATACAGTTTTTATACTTAACCCCTTCCCTAACACACAGGTACTCACATTCCCTTTCTGTCATTTTAAAAAAATGACAAAATCCCCCAAATTTAACCTAAATGAAAGACTTGAACAGAACTGCAAGTCTGAAGTTTTCAAGTCAAGACTAATTTCTCTAAATAACCTCTCCTGTAACAATTTCCATAGTATTTATTCAACTTCTCCTCACATTTTACCTGTGTAAATTAACAAAACAAATTGACATCAAGGAAAAACACATACCCCAGTTCTGCCTCCAAAAAAATTCGAGTGTCTTCTGCGTTGCAAAATGTTTTTTAACTGAGTAATGCACTCTCTGTATAAGCATATTGGAAAATCCTGCACGTTTCAGAAGGTAGGCCATTGTTGGTGAATGCCCAAAAGGATCGACTGCCCAACCAGACTTTGGTTTCACTCCTGTTGACAAAAGAAAAAAGTAAAAAAGGAAGAAAGTTTTAACTCAAAGAAAGCTATACCAATATAATTCAAATCACATCACTAAATATAAAATTTCCAAGAAAATAAATTAAAATACACAACTGAGTATTATACTTCCTGCAGAACACTCCCTGGAATTCACAAACTAGAATTAAACAGATAGTCAATTAACAACAACAACAACAAAAAAATAGAATTAGGGGCAAGGCATTCTTACTACATAAAACCTCAGAGATTAGTACTCTACATTGATACACTATTTCAACTGTGTATCAAAAATCTTTACATGGAATCATAATGAAATAAATCTCTTTTTCCACTTTAAGTAGTTCACAGATGTTGCATTTAAAAAGAAAAGCTGAAAAAAAATGAACAGATGGAGATGGATTGATGTCATAGATTGCTGAAGTTTCACTGTTATTTAAATAATGTTAACCTTTGCTGGCTTTAAAACTAACTTTTCTTTTGAATTATTTGGTTGATAATCATTAGAATCATGCTGATTAATACTGTCTTTTCACTGAAATTCATACTAGCAAATAAAGAAGCTGTATCTAACTCTTGTTTAACTGATTCTTCAACACAGTTCCTTAGGCACATTTTTTGTCTGACAAAAAAAAAAAAAACAAAAACAACAAAACAGTAGGGAATACATTATCCTTTTATTAGGCTTTCTCTCTCTGTCATCCCTTAGTCATGCTACACTCATGGAAACTGTAATCTAAGGTAAAACAGTGACATGGTTTGAATATCTGATCCAGCATACCTCCTCCTCTCTTCCTCTGTTTTTCCACTGACCTCAATGTTTGCACAGATGTTCTCCGCACAACTTCTCCTCATAACTCTCACAACTCCTACCAGGTTCCCCTTCTTAAATATGTTATTGCAGAGGTACAGATAATTGGCCTGACCTTGGTGCAAAGCGGGGTCTGGCTCAGAATCAGGGGAGCTTCAAGAAGCTTCTCACAGGGGCCACTGGTGTAGCCCCCTCCCCTGCTACCAAAAAATGCCAACCACTCATTCAAACCAGGACATTCCACTCTTCACCTCTGTGAAGCACGTAATTAAGAAATTACATTAAAGCCCATGTTCACTACACAAGCCAATACAACATCAACACACTAACAAGAAACTAACTAAACAAAAAAAACTTCCCCCCACTGAAAAAAAATATTATAACAAGACCAAATCACAATACACAATATCCACCCCTCGTCCCTCCAACACACAAAAAAACCCTTCCCCACAGCTGTAACAGAAATTCCAAAGATCATTACTCCAGTGGATTTTAGTCGTGTTTTGCCTATAACCACTCCTAATTACTATCCCTACTAGCACACCTTCCTCTGCCCCACATTGGGCACCAAAAAGGACTGTCACAGTTTGAGTTCAGAGGGCAACTGAGCACCACACAACTGCTCACTCTCCCCTTCCCCCACAGCCCTGGGAAAGGGAAAACAAGCAAAGATGCCACTCACTTGCCCCTTCCCCCCAGCACTGGGAAGGAGGAAAGCAAAAGACATAGGAAACTGAGATAAGGACAGGGAGGGATGATATCCATTATTGGCACAGGCAATAGAAAGGTTCATTAGGGGGAGCAAGAAAGAACATAAAATTTAATACAGACACTAACAACCACAACACTTAACTGACTGAATAGGACCGTGAGAAGCATTGCAACATCTTGAAAACACCTTCCCCCATCCCTCCCTTCCTCCCTGGCGCAGCTTTGCTCCCAGTATCTCTACCTCCTTGGTAGATGTAGCACAAGGGGCAGAGAATGGGGGGGTGAAGTCAGTCCTGACACTTCTTCCACATCAGGGGGTGATGTGGAACTTCTGGAAATCCTCCCCTGTTCCAGCTCAGTCCCCCTCTCATAGGATACAGTCCTCCACAAACTAACTCTGACATGAGTCACTCCCACAGGTGTGTGGGTCACCCCCACGTGTTGTAATCCCCCCAGCTCTGAACTACAAAGTGGGGCCTTCTTCCCATGGGGTCCTGGCCTTCTTCAGGCGCAGTCACCTGAGTTGGTGCTGGGCCCCCCGCGGGCCATAAATCGGTATGTGCTCCACCACAGACCTCCATGGGCAGCAGCAGGGGGTGGCCCAGACATCTCACTATGGGATACAGAGGGTCTCTGCTCTGGTACATCTCCCCCACTTCCTCCTCCATTCTTCCACTGTGTTTGCACAGATATTCTCCTCACAGCTCCCATAACTCCTACCAGGTTCCCCTTCTTAAACACATTATCACAGAGGTGCAGCTACCTGGCCCAGCCTTGGTCAGAGGTGGGTCTAACTTGGAGCCAGGAAGCTTTGAGGCACTTCTCACAGGGTCCCACTGGTGTAGCCACCTCTCCCACTACCAAAACCCTCCACCACTCACTCAAACCAGGACACATACTGAAACAGCTTTTCAAAATCATTTCAGTTAATTGCATAAATGATAACCTACTGTGCAAATTTTTTACATAAAAAGGTTATCTCTTCTTATAGAATGAAACAAAACCTCCTAAAGCTATCAAAACAGTTCAAGTCAGTGTTACTGCAGTCAGTAATTCCTAAAACTGCCAAATGCAAATGAGAGGCTTTTTAATATGAACAATTCTAACAGTACAATGGGTTTAGGTTTTATAACTACTACTAAATTTCATATTTACTTTTTATGAAAGCCTTACATAAGAGTAACTAATGAATATACAGTCTACTGAATAGATCCAATGACATGAAATATATCTTTTAAGTCCTTTGTTATGATTTTCAGAAGACAGAAATGACAATTGGAACTGTTTGTGATACCAGACACATGTGATCTACAATTCAGCATGATTTAGTGTTATACTTTGTTATGCTAAAATCATAAGCACATCTTTCACTGATCAAGACAGCATTATGACATAAAATTGTTTAAATACACTTCATTCAGGAACTTCAATCTGCAAACGGTAACTGCAAATACTAGACTCAAAGCTGTATTTTCCACTAAGTGATCTGATTGAATGATCCAGGAAAGCAGAGTAAAGAGAACCTTCTGTGCACCTCAAATATAAAAAAGCATTTCCTAATTGACCTCCTGTATTAACACAAATACATTTTAGATCAAGCTACATACCAAGGTTCTTTTCTAGCCATTGATGTCCTTCTATCATTTGGTCAATTAAAGAAAAATAATGAGGCGAGGCTTCATCAGGCATGACCCATCCTCCTGTTACTATTTCAAATTGTCCATCTTTTATTAACCTGAAAAATATGTAAATTGTGTTCAGAATCTTGCATATAAAAATACACTATCAAAAATCAATTTTAGAATACCCAATAGGCATTTATCAGGGATACAATGACAAAATCTGAATTCCTTGTTCAACTTCCACCACTGGACTACATTTCAGTCAAACAGGGAAAGAATAAATAGATGAACAGTGAAATTTTTAACATCTCTGTGCAATAAATACTACCAGTTCTACTGCATGTGCCATAATATTTCTTTTTTTTTTTAATTGGGAAGAAAGCTATTTCCTGCATAATTACCAAAAAAAAAGTGTATGTGCCACAGTACGAAGGTCAATTGAGCGAGGTGCTAGACGTTCCACATTTCAAGCACTACTATTTCCCCATCTTTGATCTACTGGGTTTTTTTATTGCTTTAGAGAGCTGACAGAGCTTCAAAGTTTATTGTATTTATAAAGGCTTCAGATCATCTCACTCATTAAAATGCCTTCTTGAAACGGATCACAGGATGATCCACTCTCTCAGTTAAGATGTCAATGAACATAATAATCATGCTTCCAGCATCAAGTGTTCCCTACAGTTAAAAAAATGTAACTTCAGTCTTACATTGTATGCTAGCATATATATGTTTAAGGAATTCAAGAAAGAAATAGAGTAAAATTATCAAAACTTAGTCACATTATAGATAATATCCATAACAGTAATGAAAAACATACAGCAAAAATAATCTCCACTGCAGCTTCTGTAAGTCTTACAGCAGTTTAACCAATACCTTATTCTGCTGAAGAAAGGACACAGTTCCCTAGTGATTATCACTTACTGTTTACTGTGTTCCAAGGGATCTCTTTAATCTCAGAAAATAACAGATGTTCTATAATACTCATGCATTGTATATAAGTTTTTAAATAAATAGTTTTCTCTATAATTTCCATCATTACCCAACCTTTGCAGCTGTGAGGCTCTTGTAGCCTTAACTCATACTGCAACCTGTGCATCCTGAAGGGGGTCATGAGGAAGGCATCACAGAGATGAGCTAAGAACTGTTGCATCCTGTCTCAAAGCAAAATAAAAAAACCCAGAACAAAACAAATCCCTTCTTTGAAAACTCCAAACTAGATCCTTACTTCAGGTTTATCTAAAGCAGCACACTTTCTTGTCTCAGTGTCTAGGCAAATCTTTTACTTCTGTAAAAAGTTTTGACTTGCAATTTTAAAAGGAACTAATACGAGCAAGAGCATACAGTATGTACTAATTTACCATTTAAGCAGCTACATATTTATAAAAATAGGTGTATTTAAAACTAAAAAATCCCATTTTATAATTGTTAACTGAAGAGAAAATTACCATATATAAATAGCTAATATGAAATACTATTTTTATTCCATTGCCAATACTTCAATGTGACTTGAAATAAAGGTTATAATCACAATTCCATTACAACTTGAATGACATCTTCATGGAAACTTTTAATCAAGTTTTTCAGCAACTCAGTAATTTGGCTTCACTTCTCTAAATGGATTTTCATTTTGTAATTGGAAAAAGAACAAACCAAGCCAACAAAAAACAAAAGAACTTGAGTAGTCAATTTTTCTAGCAATTCTGCATTCAAATGTAATCTCAAGATTATAATGTACTCAAACACACAGTCTCAGAACATGCCACATGGAAGATAAGAAATATTTCAGTGTTCAAACCTTTTAACAGCATCCTTTTTTTGGCTATCTATTCCATCCCACCATTTTGAAAAGTAAGAAATCTCAGACCATATAAATTTCCTTCGGTTGTCTTCTTGCAGTTTTATAACCATGTTATTTAAGATATGCTGTGTCTGATCTCTGAAATAATCTTCAAAAGTCTTCAGCCAACCTAAGAAAAAGAAAATATGAAATTTAAGTCTTAAAGACCTGTATTCTTCACCCTCCCTACAAAACATTAGGTGAATCGTTTTCTTAAAAAAGGTGAACTTTATATGCTGTGGACCGTTTGAAATGATAAACTCTCCAGTCGTTTCTTTTTACAAAGCTTAGATGTTTTATTTTCTTAACATATGGAATATTAGGCTTTCTACTTTCATCAATAGAAACAGATTTTTTAAATGGTGATTTTTTTTTTTTTAAATTTAAGCACAAGTGGTTGAAAAATAAAATTAACATATCCGCAAACTGATCTTCCTTGAAAAATTCCACTAGGTTTCCTTATCTCTCACATTAGGAGGACTGTAGCATCTACTAACAGATCATCTTCCCAGCCCAAAGCTTATTCCCAAAGCACATATCCCCAACACCCCCTAATCCTTCCCTCAATAACTTATATCCTCTTCCAAGTCATGAAGCACTCCACCACCCTCTTTTATGTAAAACAACTGAACAAAAATCCTTACTAGCAGCATCTTACACCTACAGCTTGAGGAGAAAATTAAAAGCCACTAATGGTATCCCACAGACCTTGAAAAGAAATGTAAAGAAATGGGGGCAAACAAAGCAGCAGTAAGCCCTGCAACATGTTCAGCTTCATTTATGAATGAGGGGTTTGTAAGTAATGATTGAGAAAAGAAACATGATGTACCTGCATTCCTCATTAGAAAAGATACCAGTGAGAGAGACTAAAGGGAAAAAACAACTTTAATCACATATGCAGACCTCACAGTGCAGAGCCTTCTATGAAATTCTTTAACCTCTTCCTAAAACCTTGCATAAAGTATGTGCATCTTCCTTCACAGAACCTGGAAGGGATATGTTCTTTCTCAAACTAGAACTTGAAAAAAGAAGCAGGTAAGCCTGTCTACTTAATACACAAGTGGCATATTCCTACTCTTCATACCAGTTCCTGTCACGTATGACCATTTTAATTCAAGTGCTTCCAACAGACCCAGCAGTTGAGTTTAAAGAAGTATTACATACAACAGAGCAACTACTGAAGACTGCAAGTGATGTTACAAATTGGTCCTATAGCACGCATCCACATTTTAAGAGTTTGTGAAAGCTTCCATACAATGTAAGGATTGTGCTCCAGACAAATATGATGATAGTGATTCCACTCTGATTTACCAGTTCTGTTGTTCAACAGAGGCACTGCCATTCTAGCACAATGCCAGTCTGCTTATAAAAAGATATAGGATTAGGCTGTTCAGGAATGAGGTAATATTGTTTCAAGGCAGTTATATAAATGCAGAAAATTTTACCAATAAAAAAATAATTTTTAAGTCTACTTAAAAAAACACTTTATTATTGAATAGAGTCTGAAGATTGACTCAGAAAGACTACATTATACTTTAAGGATGGAAAATAAATTACTTTCATCTTATGTAGAACTGCAGAGCTGATGTAATTTGACAATATGCATATTCTTTTCCAGTTCACATCAAACTGTTAATTGTATTTCAAATAAAGAATCTTGTAATTAGGAATAACCAGTAGACATGCACACTCTTACTTTGGTTGCACTGCTTACAGGTTGAACTCTCACTTTCTAAAGGTCAAATTTTAATAAAGTATTCAGAAACAAAATACCACAGATGTAAAAAAACCTCCTTTTTTTACTTTGCAAATGAGAAAATAAAACTATAATACTCCAGAGGAAATGTGCTGGCTCATTATCTTTTTTTTTTTTAAACAGATATTTAGCATCTAGAAGAATCATCACATCCAATATAAGTTCTGCACAGATAGAACACTAGGGTCTAATCTAATCTGTCTTGAAGGGGAAAAATACATTTTGTCAAGACAGTTAATATGAAGGCTTAAAATGTAAACAGTTTCTTGAGAGGCGTGGAAACAGCTTAATACAAAGAAGTTGACAGTAATTTATTATTACATGATAGTTCTGTGAAGATTAAGAAAAGCAATGAATAAGATGAATTTATTTTCTTTTTGCACTGTTTTTAATCAACATTTGTTGTGATCTCTGCCTATTTTAGTAGGTTTTGTTTTTTTTTTTAAATGGAAGCTTTCACTCAAAGAATTAAGATCACATAATCAATTATTCTTTTCCAATGCTCATTTACTTTTCCACAAATCAAAAGTACTTTACTGATACTTACATGAAAAGATCCACATGTAGCAGACTATATATTTAGAGCTTTTTATCTGGAATTTCTTCTGCATGAGACAATATCATGCTAGCACAAAATTAACAGAGTATCAACTAAAACCATCCTATGTTTTTCCTGTTCTATTTCAGCATATTTTTATATTGCAGCAATAAAAGCAAACTTACACTGAATTAGTTCTCTTAAACATTCTTTAAAAACCAACCTAAAGAAGCACAGAACTAAATGACAAAGCAGCATTACACTATGATGTAAGTAGGAAGAACATTGTTATGATTAGAGGTTGGGTGGTTTTTTTAATATACCCAGTTTATTAAGCTACAGAGGAAGGGTATAACACGGTTAACACACTGAGCTTAACAAACTTCAGGAAGCCCTAGGATGTTGTGGTAAGGCATTAGCTGTTTTTTTTCTATCTGCTAAGCCACAGGAATGCAACGTTCAGATCACAGCTAACCCTTGCAGGAGGTTAACCTTCGTGGGAAAGAAAGCACAAACACCAATATGGTGGATGCTATCTGTTCGATTTATTAACTGTGCAATTGCTTTATATATACCTTTCTGTACCTCACGAGATCTTTAGTTCCCTGTTTTTCCCGTACATCGCGAGATCTTCCGAGCGCCTCCCCCTACACTAGGAAATATTTAGAAGTATTCACAGAACTAGTTACAAGCCACCAGAAAGTCCTCTGACATTTAATTACCATGCATCTGGCATCTTGCTCTTAAATTTTTTTTATTTCTGAATAGAATATTTTCAGTTGGAACGGACCTACAACAATCATCTAGTCCAGCTTCCTGACCAGTTCAGGGCTGACCAAAAGTTAAAAGTATCTTAGGAAGGGCATTATCCAAATGCCTTAAACACTGACCAGTGTGGCACATCAACCATCTCTCCAGGAAGCCTGTTCCAGTGTTTGACCACCCTCTCAGTAAAGAAATGCTTCCTAGAGTCCAGATTGAACCTCCCCACACACATCATATCACTGGCTCCCAGGGAGAGGAGATTAGCACCTCCCTCTCTACTTTCCCTCCTCAGGAAGCTGCAGAGAGCAGTGAGGTTGCCCCTCAGCCTCCTTTTCTCCAAACTAAACCAGCCCAAAGTCCTCAGACATGTTCGCACAGTATATGCCTTTCAGTCTTTCCACCAGATTTCTGGCCCTCCTTCAGATGCATTCAAGGACCTTCACATCCTTAAATTGTGGGGCCCAGAACTGTACACAGCACCCAAGGTGAGACTGCATCAATGTTGAATACAGAGGGATAATCACCTTTCTGGACCAGCTGCCTACACTGTGTTGGATGCACCCCAGGATGCAGAGGTTTGACCTTCTGGTTGCCAGGGCACATGGCTGATTGATGTCAACCAGCACCCCCAGATCCCTGTCTTCAGGGCTGCTCTCCAGCCACTCCTCTCCCAATTTATACTTGTGTTAACTCCATCACTGGTGCAAAATCTGGCATTTGCTCTTGTTAAATTTCATGCCACTGACAGCTCAACGCCATGACTTACAGAGATTGTCCAATTTTACACAAAGCCATAAAGATTAAAAAATTATCAAAACCTGAACAGAACAATGAATAAATTAATTTACAGTTGCTAGCTATAAATCTACTACTAAAGACTACCATATTAATTATATTTTCCATCTCGGTCGCTAATATCATGTAAAAATCTGGCACAACTCAAGTTCATTCTAGTGCTTACCCACAAACTAAGAATTTGTTCGGAAGCTGAAAGAAAAGGTTTACCATTGTATTTGAATCAAGAAACTTTCAATACAAATACAATTTATACATGCAGAAAGTATAATCGTTAAAAAAGCTGCAATTACCAATACTAAATATACTACTGTCAGCAAAATAACACTTGTTGGTTTAAATCTACATAAGGACCTTAGTCAATATAAAAATGTGAACAAGAGAAAAAATAGTATCTTTAATGTCATTATGCTAATCTTGACTTAATAAGTATTCAGGATGTTGCCAGCTACCTTCATTTTCTGCCAGCACGTATAATATCCATAGAGGGTACACACTGTTAAGCTGCTTGCCCTTTGATCACCTCACTCATCTTTGTCCTCAAAAAGTGTGGAAACTTGATGTCCTTCCATCCCACTGAGATTCATCATCATCATGCAGTTGTCCATTTTTTCACCCTTTTCTCCTACTCTGTTAACGTAAAATTTCTTGGGTTGACAGCAACTAAGAATCATGTCCAAATGTTAATGCAATCCCTTGCTATGCAAAAAATCCTGAAGCATTTCAGTAACTGATTTACCACTATTCCTGTCTATGTTTTCCAGTCCAATTTCTTCTTGAAGGTCTCTCAGCTCCTTCCACTAGAGAAAAGTATTCTTAAGACACACTTGTAGAAATACTGGCAAAGTTTCAGGACAAAATCAGAACAGAGGTTGACAAATTAGCATTATTCAAAAACGTAAAAGCTTTTTACAATTTGATCATGACAAGAATCACAAATCCACTTTGAAAACATTAAATCATTACTAGCAAGAGTATTTTACCACTGCTTACATGTATCTAGAAGGCTGTTGGGATTTTTTTTTACATATGTATTTCATCTTTTGGTTTAAAATGGACTGATGAATGAAAACAAACAAACAAAAAAATCCCCTTTTAATTGCTTACTACAAGTCACCTTCCAATGTTTAAGAGAAAATATGTCCTTAAAAAAATTTCTAGTTTGTCACAAAACTTGTTTTAATTAAGAGGCGGATCTAGTGAATGTCTGGAATATTATCCAGTGTTGAAGGCAGTTTGCCCCTTTTTGAAAGCAGTTTGCATCTCTGATTTACTT